ACTTTCTGGATATCAGACTGGAAGACTAGGAGGATTAGGCATTCTTCCATAGATCTCTCAGAATTTTTGTTTTCACTTTACAAATGGAAAGAGGAACAGGTTCCTCATTGGCTTGTCTCCTATGCAATTGGAAAAATTACACCCCTAAGTGCTCAGGAGGAAAGGAGATAATAGGGGACCCTGGTGCTGGATTATGTGTGACTATGCTGGTGCATGGATTATGCATCACCTTCTCAGGAACCTGCTAGACCACAGGAGCTGATGCTCCTCCGGGTAACCTAGAGAATGTGGGTAAAGTCAAACCCAAGACTTCTGCAGTGTTTTGAATGAGAATGTCCCTCATAGGCTCCAAGTATTTGGACATTTTTGTGTCCAGTTGGTGGTGCTGTTTTCGGAGGTGTTAGGGGTCTGGACTTACTGGATGAAGCACATCACTGGAGGCAGGCTTCGAAAGTTGTTAAGCCTTGCCAGATTTCTAGCTGCTTTCTGCTTCCTGTGTCTGCTTGAAGATGTGAACACTCAGCTTTCTGCTCAGGCCACCTCTGCCTCCAGGCCTCCCCCACCATTATGGACTTTCTTTGGAACTGTAAGCTCAAATAAAATCTTCCTTCTATAAGTGGCCTTTGTTATACTGTATTATCATAACTACAGAAAAATAACTAATACAGGAGTTGGTACTGAGAGTGGGGTGCTATTGTGAAGAACCTGACCATGTGGGTTTTGGGATGAATGTGGAAGACTGTGGAAGTTTAGACAAGAAAAGTGGTGGAATGCCGTAAGCAGAGCTTAAGAGGCCATTCTCGTAGAAACTAGTGCTGAGAGCAAAGTAGTTCCAGAGGGAAATAAGGACTTTAACGGCATCTAGGATATTTTGGCAAAGAGTCTGGCTGAAGTTTGTCCACAACCTAAGAGCTTGTCTGAGGCTAAGTTGAAAAGTAATGGACTAACTTCTTTGGCAGAGGAAATTTCAAGACATCCTAACATAGATATGTTGTTGTGGCGATTAATGGTGAATATTATGCAAATCTACAATGAAAAAGAACAAGTGAGGCAGAAAGAAATGCAGAATGTACAGTTTGGATTGGAATAGAGCACTAATGTTGGAGCCATCATAGGTGCTGAAGGAGAGGCTCTCTTTGATAAGATTAGAACCATTAAACAGAGGCCTAGAGATTTGCTCTTAAACAGTGGAAGGAGTGCCCTAAAGGCAAAACCACACCTAGCTGAGATTCCAACTTATGAAAGGAAAATGCCCAAGAGGGTTATGCGGCTACCAAACCACTGCATAGAAAAGCTGCTAATTTTGGATGACATTGGCAAGGCTCCATACCCAGCTGGCAGCCAAACTTGGCAAAGTCATTCACGTGGTGCTGACTTTAGCGGCATGAAAAATGGAAGAGTGAAGGGGGGCATTGGTGTTTCTTCAGAGATTTTAGAGAACTGCTGAGGCCAGACAGTGTGCATCAGGAGTGTCCCTGCATAAACGATTACTTGACATTCCAAGAGGCTCTGACAGTCCATTTTGTGATGCTGTTAAAGTGAAATCTTGTTGACAGTGGAGACCAGAAGATAAAGCTGTGAGACATCTGCCAAGGAGAGTCATATACAAGTAGTGGTACCAGCTCAAGAGAGAGATGTATATTGCATGCAGCAAAGTTGGAGGTGCTGAGTCATCTAAGCCCTTCAGAAGTAGTCCCAGAAGTTGGACATGGAGCTAGTGGACTTGATGTTTACCATGCCGGTTTTCAATCTTGTTTTGATCTAGTGTTTCCTCAGCATGTTCCCATTACTCCCTTTTGTAATGGGAATGTGTATTCACTTCCACTGTATGTTAGAAGTGTGTAATTTGCCTTTTGATTTTACAGGGCCTTAAAATTAAGAGATTGCCTTGATCCTCAGAAGAGATTTTAAACTTTGGACTTTTGAATACTGTTGAGGCTGGTAAAGACTATAAGGAGTTTTGGAGGTGAACTAAATGCATTGTGCATTTTATATTGTTATGAGCCTGTGGGGGCCAGGGAGTGAAATGTGGTGGTTTGAATGAGAACCCATAGTCTCCCATAGGTTTCAAGTATTTGAACATTTTGTCACTAGTTGGTGGTTCTGTTTGGGAGGTTTTAAGAGGTGCAGCCTTGCTAGAGGAAGCATATCGCTGAGGGTAGGCTTTGAGAGTTCTTAAGCCTTGCTAGATTTCCAAGTTCTTTATACTTCCTGTGCCTGCGTGAAGAAGTGATCTCTCTGCTTTCTGGTCCTGACACCTCTGCCACCATGCCTCCTCATTATTATGGATGTCCCCTGGAAATATAAGCTCAAATAAATTCTTCCTTCTATAAGTGGGCTTGGTCATGGTGTCTTATAGCAACAGAAAAGTAATTAATACAACTTCTATATTATTCCTCCTCCATCTCACAGAGGATGGGACAAAATCAGTTACCAAAAATTCCTCTGAATTTGATACAGCTGTCACCTCAAACAATTGGCAGAACTAAAACTAAAACTTCAAACAAAAGAATCCGATTGTTTTCTACCAAGAAGCCGCATTTCAATGACCCTTGGGGGACAATGAAAAATGGTTACCCAAGGGAAGCCTTAACTGTGCTGTAAAGGAAATAGAAAGGTTCTTATATTTTATAAGCGAAAAAGGTGCTTGTTAAGTTTTTCAGGTTGTCTGCATCCATTTACAGACACAAGCTAACTGATTATGGGTATAACCTTCCAAGAAGTTGGTCACCCCAAATCTTTGCAAGGAAGATTTCAAATTAAACACTGGCAAAAGCAAATACTTCATCAACTTGATCCTAACTGATCATGAATGGAGACAGCCACCCATCTTTGAATTTATGAATTTTAAATGTAGTGGGGAATGATCATTCAAAATCAAATTTGTGATTCTGATAACAGTCTAAAGAAAAATAAATGAATCATGTACAGTATAAAACACTGAGTTCCTTTCCTCTTCTCTGGTCCTCCAAAAAATAACCTATTATCTTCAGTTTCACAGAGAAGCAAGTACCTTTGGTATATACATTATATCAATAAATTGTCAGGTGCTGTTTGAGCTCCCTTAGAATCTGACTCTTCCAATTCAGACTCAAGCAAATTTATCTCAAAGTGTTCTTTGTTTAATTTTTTATTTGTTAATTTTTATTATATGTGTATGAGTGTATTGTCAGCTTGTATTTAAGTGTACCCATGTCATTGTAGTATGATGCCGTGGAGGTCAAAAGAGGGTGTTGGATGCCCTGGAACTGGAGTTATGGACAGTTGTTAGACATCACACGGGTGCTTGGAGTCAAACCCGGGCCCTCTGCAAGAACAATCAGTGCTCTTAACCAATGAGCCATCTCTCTAGACCCCATCAAAGTGTGCTTTTAAAAAATTTATTATTTTTTTTATTTTATGTGTATGAGTATATTGCCTGCATATATGTAAGTGCACTCATGTTGTGTGATGCCCATGGACGTCAGAAGAGGGCGTAGGATCTCCTAGAGCTGGAGTTATGGACAATTGTTACCTGCCAAGTGGGTGCTGGGAACTGAACCTGGGTCCTCTGGAAGAGTAGCCAGTGCTCTTAACCACTGAGCCATCTCTCCAGTCCCTCAAAGTGTTCTTCAAGGCTTTTGTCCTAGGTCAGGTAGGCTCTGTGATAAGAAAAAAAGGAAAACAGTGAAACAGTTCAAGAATAAAGGCATTGTGCCTGTAAGAACAACCAAAGGGGTAATTTATTTCCAGTCAAAGGTGCTATTATTTTTCTCATGATATAAAAATATCTATAGAAAAATAACAATGAGATGCTCTATTTTGCCACAGTGATGAAGAAAGTAACTGCACAGACTAATGCAAATATATACTGAATACCAAAAATTATTTAACTAGTTAATGAATGAACCAAACAGGATAGATCAAAGGAAAAAAAGGCAATTTACAGTCCAGAGGGAAGATGGAGAGGATGCTGTACAAAAACAAACTAAACTGGAAAGACTGAAATAGTGTTCTTATGACTTTAAAAATCTGCTTGGTGAATTAAGGTGAACTTTAAACATGAATGTCTAAAGAGCCTTGTGTCTCATGAGAAAGTTTATGCAAGAATGCTGGCTGGGGAGTAATCTCCAGAATACCCCTCTTTTTTCTGATGAAACATGTTTACTGCAAGTAGACATACCATGGAGATAATGTTGCTGTGCTCACCCATATTTTGCTGAATTTTTATATTGTTGCCATATGATTATTATTTAGTGTTCTGTAAACATTTGACTGTGGTTCTCAGGACTATGAGAAGCCATTCTATTATTGTTTAGTTCTGTAGACATGTGACTGTATTCTCATGCCATAAGAATAAAAGCAGAGCTGGGTGCTGGGATTCGAATCCTTGTCTTGTGCAAGAACAGCCAATGTTCTTAACCACTAAGCCATCTCTCCAGCCCCTAGGTAGTCAATTTTGTATGGTTACTTCTGCATTAGAGAAAATAGAGTAGGAAAATAAGAGACAGGGATTATTACACACGGAGTGTGGACCTTTCCTGGAAGTGGCATTTGAGCTAAGGCCTGGATGACAAGAAGCCAGGCACAGGCAGGTCCTTTCACTGGTGTGCTTGCACTGTGTGGGTTCTGGATGATCCTGAAGCAGAAGACAAGCCCAGTGTCTGGAGCCTGGGAGACAACGTGGGGATGAGATAGAAAGGCCAGATGCCTCACAGAGTTTGAGCTATGCGTGACATCAAGGCTGTGATTTGAGTGTGGAGGGTTCCACTGTAGGAGTGGCACGACCTAATTCTTGTCAGGTGGTGGCTGATCTCTGTGTGGAGAATAGACTGGAGAGGGGGCAGCCTGAGACAGTGTTGGGGGACAGCCATCAGGAGGCTGCTGCAGACCAAGGGAGGGATCAGGATGTATGGAAGCCATGATGCAGCTGTGTGCAGAGGCGGGGGGCGGGGGGGCGGGGGGACGACGACACCTTGGACAGGCCTGTCTGGGGTGGGGCAGTTGGTACCTGTAGTGGCTTTGCTAGGGTGTAAAGGGATGGGGCAGTTCAGGGCCCCTTGGGCTTGCCAGCTAAGTGGAGACACGGTGCTGCTGTTTTCTATCAGATTCTCCAAATGCCTTGGACCATCAGAGGACAGTGGTTGTAGGGTTAACTAGCGACTTGGAAAAAAAAAAAAAAAAGACACCGTGGGCGGTGCGCGCTCCCGGGACGCGCGCTCCCGGCGTTGGGCACTCGCAGAAGCAACGCAGAGGGAAGAGGAGCCGAGAGAGAGCCCCGGTGTGCCTGCCGTGTGCGTGTGGAGCCCGCGTGGAGCGAGCCGCCGGCCGGTCGAGATGAACACCCTGCTGTCGCGGGCGAACTCGCTGTTCGCCTTTACGCTGAGCGTCATGGCGGCGCTCACTTTGGGCTGCATCCTCACCACCGCCTTCAAAGACAGGAGCGCGCCCGTCCGCCTGCACGTCTCCAGGATCCTGCTCAAAAAAGTGGAAGACTTCACTGGACCGAGGAAGAAAAGCGACCTGGGATTCATCACATTCCACATCTCTGCGGATCTGGAGAAGACTTTCGACTGGAATGTCAAGCAGCTCTTTCTGTATTTGTCAGCCGAATATTCCACCAAAAGCAACGCGGTGAACCAGGTGGTCCTCTGGGACAAGATAGTTCTGAGAGGCGATAACCCGAAGCTGCACTTGAAAGACGTCAAAACCAAGTACTTTTTCTTCGACGATGGACACGGTCTCAAGGGAAACCGGAATGTGACTTTGACTCTGTCTTGGCAAGTTATACCGATTGCTGGAATTCTGCCTCTTGTGACTGGATCAGGACGCATATCTGTCCCATTTCCAGACACATATGAAGTAGCCAAGACTTTTTAAAGAACTCTGCATTTGAAAAAGGGACACTTTGTTCTTAATGAATCGCCTTTAATCTTTTTTCTTTACATCTTTCTAGTTTCTTTTTTGTTTAGTTATCCTTTGAGATATACCCTTTGTATCTAGGACTGCCTGGAACTCATCATCCTCAAGGTGCAGATTGCATTCATGGATCAGCAGAACAGACTTATTCTTTGACTATTAACTTTCTCCATTGATTGATAACTTTCATTTTTTGTATAAGTATTAACAACCAAGGATATATCTGAAGGGAGTGATTGATCGAGTATTAAAGCTTGATTCACAAATAACAAAACAAGGTCACCAGAGTGGGGGATCATTAGAAAATGACAACTTCATAATGAGTGTTCTAAAAAATACAGTTGTGGCATATGATCTGCATTTTCACTATTCCATGTGTAATATAAAATGTGTCTGAAAGGTAGTCAAACGTTTGACGTGCTAGTATTATTTAAAAAAACGCTTTGTATTTTATTCTTGGCATTCCTTGTAGATTCACATTGAATGACATTTTCTTATGTCTTATAGAGTGTATTTGATTACTAGAAAAGTTATGATGTTTTTCTTAGAAGCCTGGCATACAAAGTAAGTAAAAATGGATCAGATGATTTTTCTCATTTAAAAAATCATCTAAATGCTTGCCTTTCCTGGCAGCAAATATGTTGTTTTGAAAAGTGAATGGTTCTTTAGGCTGTAAATAATTATAACTCAATTCAAATCTGTTAAGTAAAACAAATATGTGTCTTGCAGTGTTTCCTCCACAACGATTCCTGTATATTTTATCTTTGTGAAATGTATGTAACATTGTTACTGTAATTTGAGAATGTCTGCATGGTTTAACCTCAGATAAATTTGTTCCTGTATCTTTAATGTCATTAAATGCTAGTTATTTAAAGTTATAGGTCTGTTATTTAATTATTATTGGGATATTGGTAATAACAATTGTATGATTTTCACTCACAAAATATTCATATATTTACTGGATGCTTTTCTCCACACTCTAATAAGAAACAAACATAAACATTAGCTCTCTTTAAATGAAGAAATTGAAATTCAGTTTGTTACAATGCTCTAAGTAATCAAATGAATTTAAACTTGAAATCCAATCTTCTGTTTCTTTGAGCTTCCTCTTCTTTTATATCTCAGATAATACTCTAACCAACTTTCACTTACAAATTTCTTTCTATTTCTTTTACTACTCTGGAAATCTATTCTGGAAGAAATTTTCTATCCTGTGTGGAAGGACTTAATTTTGATGGTATCAGCAAACTGCATTTCATTCTCTGCATAAAATAATTTTACTCATATTGATAGCATAAAGAAATTGAAATGTTTGCAAAATAACTTAGGAAGTAAATATACAAGATTATATAAAATATTAGGGACTGGAGAAATGGCTCAGCAATTAAGAGCACTGGTTGTTTTTGCAGACGATCTGGGTTCGAATCCCAGCACCCACATGGCAGCTGACAACCTTCTGTAACTCCAGTTCCAGGGGATCCTACAATGTCTTGTGACCTCCACTGGCACAGCGTGACATGAGTGCACTTACACACATGCAGGCAACACACTCATACACGTAAAATAAATAAATAAAAAGTTTTGAAAAAGATTACCTTAATTATGTGAAGATAGGAAGATAGGTAGAATGCTCACACACATACTTCATATGGATCAGATTTTATTTATTTACACTCAAAGACATTAACTTCATTGAGTGCATGTACTGAACATGAAAACTCTAGGTGTCAAAGGTTAAAATTTGGTTGTGTTGTCATTAAGGAAGACATACATGACAAACCTTCAGCCTTAACTAGGCCTAGGTAAGAGTACGATAGTTCAGTAAACTCAATGGTGAGAGGATCTGTTAGTTTGATAGAGAGGAATGCTGGTATTTTCTTGAGTTACAATGGATTTATTTGACAAACATACATTTGAAGAATTTGGTAAGGAAGAAAAGTAGAAAGATCCCAAAGGTATAATGTGGATAAAGTTGTCATTTTTATTAACAAAGAGAAACTGCCAAGAATAAGACTGTTTGAACATGGTGTAACAGCATGCACAAGGCCTATGAAGTCTGTGTATAACAAACAAAATTCCAGAATGGAGTGGGGGAGGGGGGCTTAAGAAGCCCCTATCTTAGCTGAGGAGCTATTATTGGCAATCGATAGATGCTGGGGGAGAGAGAGAGTGTGTGTGTGAGAGAGAGAGAGACAGACAGAGAGAGAGACAGAGACAGAAAGAGTGTGTTTTCTTTAAGGGTGTGACCCGTGGTCGGTGGATCATATTCCAGGGGATGGACCCACACCCAAGAGCATTTGGGCAACACAAATTGGACATGATGGGCTTAAAGAAAAGAACACAAATTTTGGTGGTAGGGAGGTAAGGATGAACCTTGGGAAGAATGGGGGCAGTGGTGATTATGATCAAAATTGGCAAATAATTAATAAAAATATTATCAAAAAAGAATGTTTTAACATAGGAAAAACCTCCACCTTAGAAATTCATTTTTGCAAAGCACTGCTTTATTCATTTATCATAACTACATTTAACAAACTAGCTTGGAGGCAAGAGATCTAACCTAGTTTCTTACCTCTTGCCTGCCATGCCTAAAGCCTTGGTTTCAATCATCAGTATTGAAAAAATTAACCTGAGGCCTATGAATGTTGCTCAGTGGTAGAACACTTGCCTAGCATGTGCAAGGGCCTGGATTCAAACCCCTAGTGTCTATCTATCTATCTATCTATCTATCTATCTATCTATCTATCTATCATCTATCATCTATCTATAATGTAGGCTCACTTTGATAAAAATATTTACTGAAGTGTCAAAGTTTTTTCAGTTTTTAAAGTTTGTGTGTGTGTGTGTGTGTGTGTGTGTGTGTGTGTGTCTGTGCAAAGACACAAGGTTTCAGACTTATGAAAACCTAAGTATCATTGGAAACATCTGATTCTAGAGATTATTCTGAAACAGTAACTGCCAGACACTTGTTTATACTAATTATAGTTTGAAATGGTTTGAAATGAATTAGCTTTAAAATGCAGTACTCACAAGATTTTGTTTCTCTAGGACTCTACCTAAACAGAAAAAGCTAGACAAACGGCTGCACAAAGAAACTTAATAAGACTGTATTATGATTTTGGCTATAATCTGTGAATGATATCTATATCAATTCCTGACATTTTCCTCAGTTCCTTCCTGGGGTATTTCTAAATGGGATATTCATGATAGATGATTTCCAGACCACTCTTTTATCCCCTTCATAAAATGAGACTCCACTTCAATCATTCCTACAAGCAACTGAGAAGCTGTTAATACAAACTTATTTTTCAGCCATACAGAAAGACATGTCAGCGGCAGTTTCTTTGTTGAATATATGTCTAGATGAGGGGTCTTTAGCATCTTGGGAAGTGTCATTCTTGAAGGGGTCCTGAAACAATTTCTGTGATTAGGATAACCTATGGCAAGGTACTAACTCTCTTTATACAAACACAGACACCTGTCACAATCCAAGGCTATTGTGACTGTCTGAAAGCTGCACTGCTGGGCTGATAAGTCTGTCAAATGTTGGGGTTCATTGCTAGGAATCCATTTTCTAGAAAAAAAGTTACATTCATCAGTATCAGCTCCGTTAGGAATCAATCAATATATACTTCTATTTTACTCATATGTTAATTGATTTGTAGTTAAGACTTGGAGAAGTAGGGTACTGTGCGGCATCTGTAAGATTGGTAGTGAAGCAACAGAAACACTTCTGGAGTTCTCTGAACACAGAGAAAAAGCAGGGAGTTTATTGGAAGACCTACCCCTGAAGGACCGAGGATTAAAGAATGCCTCTCCGGGCTGTGCAATTCTTGCTTCTCAGTCGAAATTCACCAATCAGAATATAAGGACATGCAGAAATATTTCAGGTGTGGGACACGAGCCTGTGAATTATGGTTGTCATAGAAACCTGTTGTAATTATGACGGCCCTGACAATTTAATAATGGAAACTGGCATTGTGTGTCAAGAACAGTAGGGTCCTCTCTTCAGGTGTTTATATTCAGCTAACCATGTGGGTACCTCCTGTGGGAGGGAGGCTGAATTTCCCTGCCAGGTGGGGAGACACATGCAGGGATCCCAGACCCAAATCAGCCCCTTCCTGACAGGGAATCAGCACTGGACTCTCTCTCTCTCTCTCTCTCTCTCTCTCTCTCTCTCTCTCTCTCTCTCTCTCTCTCATAGATAGATAGAGATAGATAGAGATAGATGATAGATAGAGATAGATGATACTCTGCGGACCTGCCTGGTCCTAAGGAAGGTGCATTCTGCTCACAGGTTATCCTGGATCAACTTCCCATTTAGAGGCAAAGCATTCATGGGAGGATAAAGCAGGGATGGCTCTATGAGCCTTGTTTTCCCCTCTGTGAAAATGCCTGTTTAAGTTGTGATCAGTAATGAAGTCCCTGTGTGTCCCAATTGTTGCTGAGATCTGCAGTTGATTTGAAAAAGCCTTCCTAGCAACTGGAGATTTTTATATACCTTCTTTTGTGGTGCCATCTCTACTCATATTGTAATGATTCTTAAGTCAAGAATTTAACAAATACTAGCTAAATTGTCACAAGTTCAGATACAGATTTAAGTAGTTTCAAAAATAATACCATATTCTTTATTATAATTATAATTTGTGTCCCTTAAAATAATCAGATAGTTGTAAACACATAATTATGAACACAAGATCTGTACTATCAAATTTGCTATCTCTCCCACTGCCTTGTCCCCAGCAATGTACACTATTTCAGGTTCATGTCCACTCCCTTTTCTGCAATGGTCCCTAATCTAGATTAGGTTCATGCCCACTATATTTAAATAGAAGTAAACACTGGAGCTTTATCTGACTTTGCCCCCCTTTTGGTGCCAGTGGTGGGGCCCAAGGGCATCTTCATGGTTAGCAAGCACTCTACCACTTAGCTGCATCCTTAGGCTCAGATCTGGCTTTTGAAATTCACCTTTTTTCATTTTTTGATACATTTATTTTTGCATATATCAGCTCATCCCTTAAATATATGAACAAAATTAGTATCACTTGGTATGCTCTGGCTGTTTATTTTTTCACTTTTTTAAAAATGAAAAACACACTATTTTTTAATTATTTAATATTTTTATTTTGTGTATATGTGTGAATTGCCTGCATATAGGTAAGTGCATCCATGTCGTGCAATGCCTGCAGAGAACAGAAGAGACTGTCCGCCCAGTCCCCTGGAACTGGAGTTACAGACAGTTGTTAGCTCCTATGTGGGTGCTGGGATTCAAACCTGGGTCTTCTGCAAGAACAGTCAATGTTCTTAAATGTTGAGCCATCTCTCCGGCCCCTGGCTATTTCTTTTTAAAATATATGTCTTTTTTTAAAATTTCTGCGTGTGTGTTTGTGAAAGTGAGTGCAGGTGCCAGCAGATGCGGGGGAGGGGGGTGAGGGAGAGAGGATGGATCCCTTGGAGCTGGAGTAATAGTTGGCTGTGATTCATGCAAATGTGGGTGCTGAGAATTTGAGCTCAGGTGTTCTGAAAGAGCAGTACACAGTCTTAACTGCTGAGTTATCTCTTCAGCCCCAGCAGTTTCTGGTAGTTTCTAATCAGGGGCTTTTATACATAAAGCCAATATGAAGACTTTATGTGATTATAGCTTTTATGAAAATATGCTATACAGAGAGTAAAGTTTTATGAGTCCAGTGGCTGGGTAATATAAATGTAAGATTAATGCTGTAAGAACTTGTGAAACTTTCCAAGTTTCCAAAATTGGTTATGCCAATTTTTTCATTCCCACTTGAAGTGTATGAGAATTTTATCTTCCACAGCATTACCAATGTTTGCTCTGCT